CCAGCAAGGCCAAAGCGCCGGTTCAGGCAGCGAAAGCCTGAAGCCGCGCATCGCTTTCCGACGCCGGGACGGCGAGGCGTTGAGAGATTTTCTCAGTCGCCGATGTCTAGAATGGATTTAGCTTTGTGTTTTTACAGTGAATCGCTCTCTGCGATGTGTTGTCCTGATTCTCTGATCAGTGGAAATTTGTGATCTAAAAAAATCGAAAGCATAAATGAAATGCAAATTCAAAGTTTTTGCAGAGATTCGAACATTATTTTGATTCATTGTTTTTTCGTTCTCCTCCCCGCCTCGACTCATTATGGACTACTTCGGCGGATATTTTTCATGTGTATGTTAATGTTACTGTGTTCATTTAATTATTTCAAATAAAACCATTAAATATATTTTCTGGTTAAATTAGAAATTCAATTAGTGATTTGAAAATTTCGATTTCGTCCTTATATTTTAGACTCAATTTCCACTTATTTCCAATAATTTCAAGAATTTTAATTCAGTTCTGACAATTTGATCAAACATAACATGTTTTTTTAATATATTTTATTTAGATAACAAATTATCATTTTTTTATTTATCTCCTGTATTAACCAATAACAAAATAACATTTTATTTGAAGTAAAAAAAAAGTAACATTTTATTTATTTAAACTCATTTGTATTCTTGAACATGTCAAAACACCTTCTTATAAAAAAAAAAAAAAAACTTTGTGGATTCAAATGCCTGCTTCACACATTACTTATGAAAACCTAATTTGTATTAAACCATCTGTATCAGAGTTTAAGATTATAAATAGGTAAAAGAAGTTGAGGACCATACATAAAATTTGACTAAAAAAAAATTAAATCATATGAATAAATTCAAATTAAATTATATGAATAAATTCAAATTAAATTAAATCATAAAGGTTAAGATAGTAATCCAACCATACTCAAAAAAAAAAAAAGGTAAACAAGATAGTAATCCAACCAACTTTATTTTTAATTTTTATATTTAAAAAAATTTAACCGATTTTTACCAATAAAGTTTTAGGCTGTTCATTTAAAGAATACGTTAAGATATCCTTTCATAAAAAAGGAAACAAAACAAGTCAAAATTAAAATGTACAATTTTTCTTAAAAATTAGTTTATTTAGTCTAAAAACCTGCCTATACTTAAAAAGATACTTTCAATATTAAATATAAAACTCACCTTGAACTCCACTAGATTTGCATTTTTCCTTTTTTCTATTTAATTTTTTGGACCATTTTCTGTAAAATGATGACAGTTACAGTACTATCATCACATTACAGTCCGACTAAAATTTCACTATGCCCATAATTTCCATCCCAAAACTAAATACAAACATGCTTTCAAATTTTACCCTTTTTTTTTTTTGATATGGTAGAGAAGGCCTTCGGAATTTCCAAGTGAGGAAGAACTGCAGAAAAAAGAAAAATTAAAATAATTTTATTCAAACAAGAAACATGAAAAAATAAATTACTAGAAGACCAGCATGTGCTTCCCTGTACAAACTTCATGCTCTCCTGATTTTCTATTTACCAGACTGCACAAGTGAGTAGTTACAGTGAGAGCAAGAGGGACTGGTTTTGTATCAGCCAGCAATGGCAATCAAGCTTTTCCTTATTGCTGGAAGTGAGCAAATCAACGAGCCAAAAATTCCGTTCAAAGCGTAGGCAATGGCACAGAACGGGAGAGCCTCGGGTTCCTTGGCCGATAATGCTGCTGTTCCGAGCCCGTGTGCACTGAAACATGACAATGGGAGGCATTTCTTATTTCTCATTTTCGTCTGGATTAGTAAATGATTTTCCTCTATAACATGAAACTGAAAAAAAACCTCCAAGGTTATCGTATTAATTGTTGTATAATCAAACACATCTCTTTGCGTAAATAACCCAATATTAGTTCACAAGCAATAACACGTTGACCATCCAATATAGGGACAAGTCGAAGAACACCGATGTACAAAAGATTACATCGTAGTGAGCTATAATGAACGAGCCACCAACCAATTTTTGGTTTGTATAATGGTACCATATAATTGCATGCTATATATTACATGACATGGATTTTACTCCCTATGCATGAAAACCAACGAGCTACTATTGATTAAATGGCTATCTATATATTACATACCTTGAAGCAGTTGCAATACCCCGAGCAATAGGATCCCGAAACTTCAGATTATCAAGTGTTGCTTGGACAAAATTTGCCCCAACAAGACCAGTTACAACGACCACGGCAGCTGTGACAGATGGATTGGTACCTACAACCAGGAAAGAACTAGAATGTCAGGAAGTTATATTATACTATGAACGAGCTAGTTTAATATCATACGAAAGGAACTGCTTCAGATAACAAGAGCATAGAAACATATTGCAGCCAACCATTTTGCTAACTATCGTTCATAAATCAAAATGTCTATATATACACAATTGTAAATGGACCTAAAACTACAAGACTATTGTAATTGTATGGTCGTAGTACCTTCAAAAAAGGTCACAATGCTAAGTGCCAAAGCCACAGTTATACATCTGGGAAGAATTGAGACAGTCAAGTTTGGTTCTAATCCGGTCAAACGTCCAAGAAGAGCAGTCGAGTACAATGAGAATATAGTTGAGATAATGACGGATGTAAAAATCTCAGCTGCATGCCTCTTAACGAGCTGCAAAATGCAAGACGAGATTTCAAAGAGAGACATTATTATAATAACAAGGTCACAGGTTGGTTTGTTAGGTCGCATGTATAAAGGAAGAAAATATAATTTTGGAGTGTTTGTTCCTACATCTGAAGCTTCTTCATCCTTAGTTTTACTATTTCCAAATGAGAAAAGGAAACTTGAGTCTATAGTAATAATACTTTTGGAACTTAATGTGGATGTTCCTCTATATGTAACAGCCATGATAATATTGCCACTAGCAGCCAGATACAAAGTTTAATACTCAACTTCATTTAAAAGTTTTAGGCTTTCTAAGAATCAAAACATATTAAGCACCAAAAGGAAACTCAGCTCATTAAAAGTGATAAATAAGAAAAAGAAATTACCTTTCTCTGTTTGAACATTGAGAAAGCAAAGGAGAGGATGACAGATCCCAAAAATCCCATTAAAATATCACCAGCTCCAGGGTTAGATGATACTTTTGTCAAATATGAAGCTGGAATTTTATAGAGGATTAATATGCAATACAACCAGGCATATGAATGGAACGTAAACCAAATAGTTAAGTCGTAATGTGCTACTAATTGTGCAGCCAGATATTGATTACATATTCTACTATCTTTCTGGTTTTTTTTCTTGTAACGAAGAAGAGATGAAAGCATGAGGTGATCTCGGCGTAGACTATACCTAGAATTGGATCAAGCCCAGAGTGGGAAAGATATCCAAAAGCAAGTGCAGCGAGATCTGCAGAGACTGCACAGCAGATGATTGGGTGGAAAACCGTCTTCACGCTCCCTGGTAAACTGGAAATCATATATCAGAAAACTATAAGATGCACATTATAAGAATAACTTTAATTAACTGAATTCCCCAGAAGAAACAAAAAGGTATTTATCCATTTCAGCTTTCTAAAATCGAGGATAGTATAACTTTACTTAGATCCAACAATGTAGCCTAACACGGTCGACGCAAGTAGGAATGGAAGGAATGTTCGAGCACTCGTGCCAAGTGCTGTTGGATAAAATAAAGCAGCAACAAATGACACTAGGAAAATTCCAGTCCAACTCCACATTTCAATTGAAGAAAATGGAGATGGTTTTTTCATAGGCTCAGCATCAGTCATTTCAGTTTTTACAATATTTCTAACGGTTATAGCCGTGTATCCTGCAACACACAGAGTAGCCAGCCAACCTACAACTGCAAAGAACCAACCAATAGAAGAGGGTAAGCCATTAAACTGAACTCAGCATCAGTCATCTCAATTCAATTTTTACAAATGCATCCATTTGATTATCTTTTGTGATAGAAATCACGAAACATTAAGTAAATAGAAGTAACCAAACCACCCCAAAAGCATATATAAGGCTCCTTTAGAATTGATCTAAGATGCAATAGCAATAGATGGCAAAATTATGTACCTATTATGAAGCAAATTTTGATCCCGGATGCTGCAGGGATGTCCTTCACAGACAGAGGTAGAATGACCAAGGATGGAACATAGAACAGAGGCAGCCACCTCTGAATAAACAAGAGTGCCGGCTCGAAGAAGTTCATTACGCCAGTTACAGCCGAAGGAACAGTGGAATCAAGAAGCAACAAAATAGAAAAGATACAGAACATTCCAAACAACGCACTGGGGAACTTAATCGCAGCAGCCACAAAAGCCGTTTTCAAGAGTTTGTCAGTCGCAAGAATAATCCCTAGAGAAACAACCAGATGAAGTACCGCAAACACCTGCAAACAAAAGAAGAAACAAGTCACAACCAGATTACACAACAGGAATCGTAATCCGCAACAAAGAACAACAAAAAAAAAAAAAAGCAATCCATCTTCCATTGCTCACACTTTGAGAGATTGAGGAAGAAGTGCGGGCACCATCCGAGGCGGCAGATTTGAGTAGAACTTCTCTGGGAGAAGATTCCGTTGCCGAAGAATCCATTCGCAAGAATCTCCAACTAGGGACAGGGAGTGGGAGGAGAGGTCGTTTGGGAGAGTGGGATTTGTGAGTGGGTCGAGAACCGTTGAAAGCAATGGAGGATTTTCTGGAATGGAAGGGACGAAACTGCGACCATGGATTTGAACGGGATTGGGGAGGGAATGTAGGATGGTTGAAATTGGATAGTGAAAGAGGGGAAAATGAATAAGAATGGGGAGTGGCGGTGGGCGTCGCCATTGGAGTGCGTGGCACAGAGGCTGAGCAGCTGCTGAACATTTTTTCTAAGGAATTTTGCTCTGACACACGTTAAATTACCAGATCACACCACTGTTGATAACGTTCTATTTCTTGGTTTTTCTTTTTCTTTTTCTTTTTAATTAAAAATAGAAATGGTTTTTTTAACTAAAAAAAATTGGTATTGGTGATGATTTATTTATTTTCTAAAAGTTTAAATTAAAAGAATAAACTTACAAGTTTTGGATGGAAATTAAAATTGTTTTATATTATATTAACATTTTAATATTTATTATAAATTTTATCGATCAAACCTATCATAAATGATATAATAATAAAAGTCATAAATAAGAAATTTAGCCCGTTTATGACGTTTATGTTTTTTTGTTCTTTTGTTTTTCATTTTCAAATTTTAAAAGGCTATTACTAAATACATGAACATTTTCAATTGTAATAGGTTAAAATATTATTTTAGTTATTTTAGTTTTAGTTTTTGTCATTTTAGTCTTCTAATGTTCCATTTTTTTAGAAACAGTTGCTATGAATTTCTACTTTTCTTGGTTGAAAATTAGTAAACGACAAATAACATTAGAGAAATGAGAAATAAAAGAAACATAAATTTATTAAATGAGCCTTTTTCTAACCTCTCGTTTTCAGTGGAACCCTAATTATATTGTTTTAGAAAATTGTACATAATTTTTGAAATGCTTCTTAGAAATGGAAAATAAAATATAATAGTTACCTTATGAATCTAAATTATTTACTTTGACTATTTTGTTTTCGTTGTTTTTCCTTCTATCTACTTCTTAAGAGTGTAAATCAATCTTAATCTTAAAAGCTAAAATAGACAGTTGAAAAACATATATTTTCTTTTAAATTTTGGCTAAACTAAAAAGTTCTGTTCTGTTTTTTTTTTTTTCCTTTTTAATCTCAACTTTGAAAAAGGAACCATCGTTTTCAATTCGTTTGTCTTAAACTTTATGATTTTATATGTTTCTCAACATGGTTACAAAAACATAATAATTTTTAAATTATTTTATAAGCTACAATTTATAAAACATAAAACCAAAATAATTACATATCCAATATAAAATTCCAAAAGAATCATTCAAGTCTCTATGATTTTAAAAATAAATATGCTATTTATCATCATCGTCCCTTATTTATTATTAATTACTATCTCTTCCTCAATTATCCATTATCGTATGGTGCTGTTTATAGTTCATGATGATTCTCGTTCACACTCGTTTTCATTCAAGGTCACTCTCATTTACACTTATTCACGATCTCTTTCATTATCTATTTTGCATTCTTGCTACACCCGTTTATTCCTTTAAAGAATACCAACCAACCATGAAAATAATTAAATTTCATATCTTGTCATCTATCTCGATCTCGCTCATGTACGCTCTCGATCTCGCTCATGCACGCTCTCGATCAAGTTCATGCACGCTCTCGATCAAACTCATATGCGTTATCGATCAATTTCATGCATGCTCTCGCTCTCGCTCATGTACGCTCTCAATCTTGATCATCCTCTAGGTAGCTATCCATCTCCCTTTAAACGCGCTAACGATCTGCCTTCACGCCCTGCGCGTCAGCTTCTCCCTCCATGTCTAAAAATCAACAACCCACGACTGTGAAAATACCAAAAAACTTAGGGTGAACGTGTGGTGGATAGATGCTGTACTAGAATAAAGAGGGGACCAGTCACACTTTACATAGGTGTGGTTAAAAACATTTTCTATTAATATTCATAGGTTTCCATCTCAAAACCACTTGCCAATGAGAGACGTAGTCCATGTCTATTATAAACCAATTGATTCTGCTACCAAATTCCATTTTGTTCCCATTATATATCCTTCTGGGTGTTCTGTATTTGGGAGCAGTCGTTACGACCATGTTTCCTCGGAGCAGTTTCTCAGAAATCAAGAAACGAAGCAGTGATTGCAATGTGCATCTGGCTTTTGCAATACCTCAGAAGGTTGGGAATCCATGCCATTGGGGTACCAGAAAATGTGAATTTAAATTCCAGGTCTATAGGATTTTCTTCCTTTTATGAGCTTATTTCAGGTGGTTTAAACCACAGATTAAACAGCAAGATACAGCTGCTTATAGCTACGATGATACTGACACACAGAAATCTTATAGCTACGATGGAGCTTTTTGTGCGGTTTGAAGCTTCACAGTATGAATCACTTTATGTGATGGGATTACTGTCATTGGGGTCTTCTATTGTTGTGATGAGCAAATTTGATATCAAAGAGGCGGTCAAGGCCATTTTCCAGTTGTTCCACCAATATTATTGACACCTCTAACTAGGACTGCAAAGGAAATTGGTGGACGAAACAAGTTGCTTGTGGGGCTACTTCTTCGAGCAAGAAGGTCATACAGGAATTTGTGCAGCCTCTCCCTCATGTATTGACTCCAACATCCAACATCACACTAATATTTGACATTGCCAATTAATAAAACTAAATCATAAAGAGCAATATCCGAGATGGACTTTTGGTTGAATTCCTGAGTCTTTCAATGTTGTCCTTCTCATGTGGTGAGCCCGCAGCTCTAGCAGTGGCTTTAATTAATATCTATATCTATATTATATTAAAAAAACATAATCTCGAAAAAATGTTTTTTGGACCATAATACCCTTTTAATTTTTTATTAATTACAAACTCCATCAATTTTATTTTTTATATCATTTTATTTTAAAAATTTTAACATAAATCGTTATTGTCATTATTATTAATTACGATAAAATAGAAACCTATTAACCGTTTTTAATTTACTTATTATTATAATGATCAAACCAATGACTATTAAAATTCCATAATGAAATCAGTGACTATTAAAATCCTATAATAAAACCGATGACTATTAAAATCCTATAATAAAACCGATGACTATTAAAATTGCATATGAACTATATAAATACAAAATATTAGAATCAATCCTTCCAAATCGAATTTTGATGAAATAAGTTATAATAGAAGATTGCAGATAAGAGATGGACTAATTTCGAACACAAATGCAAGATAATGCAATTGATGAAGGAGGGGAAGTGAAGGATGTTAGTAGACATATTAGACATAAAAGAAAGAGCAAGAACAATGAGATGATGCTGACAAGAGGTGATGATGAACACCAGTACAACGGTAGCAGCAACGAGCATAGGTTGGAAGCAACAACAAGCAATAAAATGGTATCGATAGCGAGCATTGCGACAGTGGTAACGATGAGAACAATTGAAAACTAAAGATCGAAGGAAGAAGTATGCATTTGGTTGTGTGATCACGTAGAGAAAAGAAAGATGAAAGGAATGTGAGATTTGAGAGAAAGGCAAGATTCATTAGGATTTTGTAAACATTGTTTTAATCTATAAACTTGCCATTAAATTTTATTTGATTAATAAGAATGTTAATAAATGTATTGTATATTTTTGTTTCTTATTTACTCTTTCCAAAAAATATGATACTAAATAGTCCAATATACACACTGATGAGTGAGAATATTTTTATAATTGAAAAAAAAAAAAACAATTGACTTGCAAATATGGAATAAAATTATTAAGGAAGGCAATACATTCATTTTAAAATTTTCATGAATTGTTCTACATTGTAATGGTTTGCCCGTTGATAATTAAAAAAAAAATTATTCTCTTGGAAAAAAATGAAAATTGCATTTAAAGAAATATTTCTCCCTAATTTTGTAACCGATTTTTCATTTATGATAGCGATTAATATTATTCTTTCTCATAATTGTTTTCATGTAATTTGTATTTAATTTCGCCTGAACTTCCTTATTTTGTTCATGGTGGTTCAAAGTAAGATTGTAGTCTTTTTTTTTTCTATATTACAATAAAACATGATCTTTTGGTTACATAATAGATAAATTTTTTATCACATAATGAATTAAAATATTTTTCAATTAAAAAAACAATGGACTCAAAAAGATGGAAATGAATTAAGGTAATACATTAATTTCAAAATTTCCATGAATTGTGCAAAGTTACATTGTATTATTGTAATTTGCATTATTTATTTACCTTTATTTGTTTAATAAGAATGTTAATGAGTGTGATGATATATTTTTGTTTCTTATTTACTCTTTTCGAAAAATATGATACTAAATAGTCAAAATATACCTACTAATGAATTAAAATATTTTTTTAAGGGTTCGCAATACATTAATTTTAAAATTTTCATGAAGGGTGCTACATTGTAATTTCCATTACTTATTTGCCTTGATAATTTAAAAAAAAATTATTCTCTTAAAAAAATAAAAATGATAATTTTTCAAATGGAATATTTCTCCCACTTGATTTTATTTTTTAACCTATTTTTCCTTTATGGTCATTAATATTATTCCTTCTCATAATTGTTTCCATATAATTTGTATTTAATTTTTGCCGAAACTTCCTAAATTTGTTCACCTGGTTCGAAGTNTTCCCTCCGAAGTACTTTCCCAGCAGCAGACTTCGGTAGCGCTTCTGTAAAAACCACTTTTCTGATCTTCTTATATGGTGCAACCTGTGAGCCAAAAATGACACCAGCCTGAAGTTCTTGTAAGTTCTCACAAGACACGGTAAAACTTTACATTCTAATTTTTTATACGTATCAATTACGAGAAGATATATTAGATCTTAAAATATTTTAAGTGAAATAATGATCCTTCCTTTGAGATTATTTGTGGCATACTTACACTACAGCTAGAACTAACATATTTTTACCGATGATTCGATACAAAATTCTAGTAGAAAAAATCGTCAGCATAGGCAAAACAGTTTACTGTCGACACAAAGATCATCTCTGCCGATGCAATATAAAGTTCAGCTATTTTTTACATTGTAACTGCTAAAAATGGCAAACCTGTTGAGCAACAAAATCTATAACATCTTTCTGTGAGAGCCTGCTTCCGGGCCTCTTGACGATAAATGCCACTGGAATCTCCCCACATTCTTCATCAACTTCCCTGAAGAGACCAAAGAAAGTGAAACACATCATGACCTCAGACGATGCCATAGCAGCATGTGAAGCCCCGCAATGGGTCTAAGAATATGATCTGAAAAACTGATAACTTGGTTGATTATCAACCTTGTGGAGATAACTGATTTCTCATTTGCTGTAAAAAGTAAATATGAGGCTTATTCCTTCATCGATAAATGTATATATTAAACAACTAAGAAGATTCCTTGATTAAAATGACAGAATTGATTAAGCAGCTCAAATATGTGTACTCTCTAGCTAAAAAGTATGCTTAGAAGAATAGAATATTGACACCAAAACTTGATTCAGGAATGGATTCGGAGCTCGTACTTACGCTGTCACTGCAACTTCAAGAACTTCTGGATGTGCAATCAACACAGCTTCTAAATCAGCGGGAGGAATCTACAGAACAACAGATAAGCAAATTGCACCACTACGGAAGTTGATTCAAACGTTAACACAGAAAAGCCACAAGGGGGGTTTTTTATTTTAAAGAATAAAAACTTATTGTAATACTATATTCTTTTATAAACTTATTTTAGAAATATAACGGTTTCTATTAGCTGGCATTGGCTGGGGAGTCAATGCTAGCTAGCGGGAGTGCGGTACTAAAGATTGCAAAAGCTAAAAACTAAGATCCCATTTAATAACACGTGTTTTTATTTTTTAATTTTTATGGTTCATGCTTATTTCTTCGCGATTGTTTTGGTATGTTTTTCATATTTTTTAAAAAGACATTTGAATTCTTAGTCAAATTTAAAAAAAAAAATGTTTAAGAACTTATATTTTTCTAGAATGGAAAGAATAGAATAGTTATGAACAGGACCTAATGTATTCACTCGACTCATAGGAAAAAACATGAAAGTGTGAATCATGGTTGAGTACCTGAAAGCCTTTATATTTTATAATCTCCTTTAAGCGATCAATAACATACAAGTATCCATCTTGGTCAAAGTAAACGACGTCTCCAGTATGTAGCCAAGCTTCATGGTCTATTGTGGACATCGTTGCCTCTGTATTATTCAAGTACCCTGAAAAGGCAAAACTAGACCTCCGTATATCAGAAAAAATTCGTAAATCTAATTGTAGTAAGCAATATATATCTTTGAAGTAATGGTGGGGGTAGATAACAAGAAGCTATTGCAAAGAAAGTTATGGTCGCAGATAACTATGAAAACAAATATTCTCGTCCATTCTCAGTAGTTGAGGCAGAGAGGTGTGGACTCTAGAATTATGAAAATGGCATAGAAAAAGGCAGAAGAGTGATGAAATTCACTAGCATGAGCGCAATGCTTCAAGTACAGCAAAGACATTATGACCTGTTTCATAACCACTTTATTTTACAATCCGTAAAGACAAGCAAATTTTGAAAACTAACACAAGAGCTTTCAAAATTTTATTTTTATTTTTGAAAATTGACTGAGAATTCAAACATACTTTGAAAAAATATAGTAACATGCCAAAGAAATTACGAAAAAGCAAGATAATTTTCAAAAACAGAAAATTAAAAACAAAATAGTTATCAAATGAGACCTAAAAATCTCAGATAAGATCTTTCAAACCTTTCATCAAACTAGGTCCCCGCAGCAAAAGTTGGCCGTGTCTACCAGGAGGCAAGAAAGATCCATTAATGCAATCAACTACTTTAGCTTCCATGTTTGGTGCCAAAAGTCCCACTGAGGAATAATTTTGAGCCTTTTTGGTATTAAAGCCACGAGTTGCTACAGCTGCGGACTCAGTCATGCCATATCCCTAACAAAAGAAAGGACACCGAAATTGAGCCTGTTTGAACCAACAACATGGCATTCCTACCCTACAACCTTACCACACCCATAAGAAGGACAACATTGAAAGACTCAAGAATTCAACCAAAAGTCCATCTCAGATATTGCTTTTTATGCTTTAGTTTTATTAATTGGAAATGTCAAATAGTAGTCTGATGTTGGAGTCAATACCTGAATGAAGTCGACATGAGGGAGAGCCTGCACAAATTCCTCTATGGCCTTCTTGCTCGAAGAAGCAGCCCCACAAGAAACTTGTTTCAAACTCTGAAATCTTCGTCCACAAATTTCCTTTGCAGTCCTAGTTAGAGCTGTCAATATTGGTGGAACAACTGGAAAATGGGTAACATTATATTTATCAATGGCCTTGACTGCCTCTTTGATATCAAATTTGCTCATTACAACAATAGAAGACCCCAGTGACAGTAATCCCATCACATAAAGTGCGAGACCATATATATGAAACATTGGTACAACAGCTAAATACACATTCTCTGTACTCAAATATTCATACTGTGAAGCTTCAAACCGCACAAAAAGCTCGATCGTAGCTATAAGATTTCTGTGTGTCAGTATCACCCCTTTGCTCACTCCGGTAGTCCCTGATGAATATAGTATAGCAGCTGTATCTTGCTGTTTAATCTCTGGCTTTTTATTGAAATCAAAACCACCTGAAATAAGCTCATAAAAGGAAGAAAATCCTATAGACCTGGAATTTAAATTCACATTTTCTGGTACCCCAATGGCATGAATTCCCAACGCTTCAAAATCCTCAACCTTCTGAGGTATTGCAAAAGCCAGACGCACATTGCAATCACTGCTTCGTTTCTTGATTTCTGAGAAACTGCTCTGAGGAAACATGGTCGTAACAACTGCTCCCAAATACAGAACACCCAGAAGGATAATGGGATACAAAATGGAATTTGGTAGCAGAATCAGAACCACGTCTCCTTGTGAAATACCCAACTTGTCGAGCCCACAAGCCATGGACTTGACAAGAGGATACAATTCTCTGTAAGATATTGAATGTCCAGTTGAGGAATCAATTAAAGCTGAAACCCCATTATGTTGGAATGAGAAGATGAAAGAGACGACATCAAGAAATGGGTCGGAGGGCAAATCTATGGAGGGATAATGGCTACGGCAGATTCCTGAGTCTGGTGAATACCAGTCAGGATACTCAGAGTGAGGAATTTTTTGCATCCCCGCAGTCTGATTTTCTGAAGTATCACAATTTAAGTGATTGTTTAGGGAAGCTGATGCTATTGTCATAAACTGAATAAAAAAATATACAAGACCAAATCAAACAAGATCCAGGCACGACATAAAATTTGAACTAGAAGAAAACTATTCTGTTATGTATCAGTTCAGAGCTCAGTAGCATACTTGGTGCCGCAATGAAGTTGCAATGCAATGACGTCCTCTAAATTCTACAACTTAGAAGGATGGTAATTTGGAAAATGTTTTCGAGCCGCCACTATGTAAGGTGTGACTTGTCCTAAAGATCTACCATGTAAAGAAAGGTGTTAGTACCAAAATACCCATATAAAAATTGTTGCCAAAATGTTATTTCATATAACTAATTGTTTGCCGAAAAATATAGAATAAAAAAAAAGTCATCTTTTTAAGTTTAAACAATTATTCCAATGCAATATTCAACCCATAAAAAAAAAATCTCTTATTAAAAATGTTTCATTTTTTTAACCCAGCACGTGGAGTAGAGATTTAAACTCACGATCTTTTAATTGGAGATAGATTTCATAACCAGTTGAACAACGTTTAGATTGACAAATAAAATGTGGGGTAGTCTCATCTTAAATTCAAGAATGAAGCAATAATAAGATAAATTGAATAAAGCAATCACCTATATTAAAATTATTTTGAGAAAAGTTCAATGCCCAACAACTTGACATTTTTCACTTTTCTCAAATACGTTGTAAATTTTCCTTAAAAAAAAAAGGAGTATTTGCATGCCTTACCTAGGAACAAAATATGCACAATGCTGAAAGAAAAACTATTTGTATATAGAAAATACAAAAATTCTAATATTTTGATGATAACAAATATACATTTTATTAACAAAAATTACTTTTTTCAGAAATTTTGTTTCTTTTTTCAAAAAGTTTTGGAAGGAGGAGTTCAAAAAATAAATATCTCTATTACCAATATATGAAGAGTTTCATACATCTCTCTAAAATCGACATTGCATAGACTATATTATTCGATTCCTACATTTTGATTTAGAGAAACTTCTAACGATCTTGGTTATATGAAAATTTATTTGGCTATTTTAAGACTTCTGAAATATTATTTATTATTTACAAAAGAAAGGGACGTCAACTTTTAATTCAATCACAATAAAATTAGTTCTCTTAACTTTTTTTTTTTATTACACAACGTGGTTTGATACTCTAATTAAATTATTATAAATAGTTAATTTTAATGTTTTTTTTATAAAGTTTATTTTAATTATACATTAATTGATTTCATTAAATATTTCACAAGTTCTTCTTTATATTTTATAAATTTAATAATTAATAAATTGTAAAATTCATATCATGATAGTGTTATGAGACAGTTTAAGGGGGAAAAATTACTTTTAATACTAACAATATTTCTAAATATTATACTGCCCATCTATTTAAATGAAGATTTTTTTTTATCATAATACAAAAATATTATAAATTACATTTTTTTAATAAATAACAATAAAAAGTTAAATTTCTCAAAAAAAAAAAGAAATTTAAGTTTTTTAAAAAATGAAAATTTCAACTTTGAAATACGTTATAAATAAGGTTATAATAGATTTTTAGACAAATTCACGTATAACATGAACGATACTTTATCCCAAAAGGGAAAAAAAGAACAATATAATATTTTAAAAAGCACTGTGTTGTTCTTTTAGGTGTTAGTAGAAACATTTATTCAATTAACTACTAAAAAATTATTAAATAACAAAAAATTTTAAAATGTGTAAAAGCTGATATCAATTATATGATAATTTATTACAAATTTCAAATAAAATTTTAAACCTTACTTTATTATTTTAATTTATCTTTAACTTTTATAAGGTTATTTATGCCGCTATCAATTCATATTATAGTTTCTCTTATTCAAAATAATAAATTAAGAAATAAAGAATATATGATTTATTTTTGTCATTACTTAAAGAAGTACTCTAATTTTATCATGCAAAATTTAATAAAATAATAATTTAAACTAGTTGTATCGAGTTAAAGAGGAGAGAATTTTAGGGTGCGTTTGGTTGGTAATCAGAAAACACAAATTTGAAAATAAGGGATTCAATAAAAACTAGGGTTGAATTCTTTGTTTTTAGTGTTTTTGTTTGGTAGCAGATTTGGTAATTGAATCTCAATTTAAATTTAAAAAATTGTAGTTGCAAACTAAATTTTAGTTTAATCTAAACTTATATTAATTAATTTATTAACATTTTTTTAATTTTGTATAATTGTTATTTTACCCTGAAAAAGAAAGGTCATAAAATTACTTTAGAGATAGCATGTGCTTGATATTTTTCCCTTTTTGTTTTTTGTTTGTATAAAACAAAGGCTGTTCTTCTTTCTTTATAGGAAAATAAACGGGTGAATATTACCCTGAAAAAGAAAGTAAAAAAGGTGAGTCACGTTTTAAGCTAGTTATAAATAAATAAATGGATAAAAATAAACACTTCACCCAATAAAAACAAGAAGTGATAAATAAGTGGACCTAGGTGTTAAAAAAAAAAAGACAGACAATCCAAAAAACCCGAGTAACCCCACCCAACTTTCATATTATTTGAGTTCGGATTGAAAACTAATGAGCATATATTTACTATTTACGTCCTAGAAGCTGTGAGTTCGATTATCCTGGATACAGAATAATTAGATTGTAAATTCAGAGTTGAATTTACATGTGTAATAGATCTGAAAATTTTAAGTTTCATCTTCCCAAATTGTGTCTAATTTCTAAATTTCTAGAACTAATTATTTCAATTTCGTTTTCATGGATGTTTGATTTCTAAATTGAAACTATGTATATCAAACAGGCGAAAGTGAGCGGCGGCTTAAGATTAAATTCAGTCAGGAACCAAAACAGAATTT